ACCTAACGGACATATATCGTATGATATTTTACTTCATTTCGTCTATATGCTATTTTACTAATGAATTAGGTAAATTAACTTTAAAATTTTTCATTTGTTCAGTTTGAACTAATAGAACCAATAGTTAAGCAAAATATATGACAAATTATAATTAGTTTTCTAATATTTTTCATTTTCTCAAGTTGGCAGAAACATATATTTAACAAGTAAGGAAACCTTAAGATCATTATAGGGTATTCAATAGATACCAGGTCCAATAAAATATCAATTATCAATTTTACTTGAAATAAAATATACTAAAGTTGTATTTTATAAGTGCCTAAATTGTGTCAATAGATGTAGGTCCAAATTAGATGAAAATTTCAGTTAACCTAAATAGTATACTAAGCGTAATTTGGCGTCTATTTGAAAACTGCATAAAATGCATGGAGTTGGTTGAAGAATAATTGAGTATATACAGTGCATTTCTTTGATGCCCCTCCCCCCTTTTATTTTTCGAACGGGTTAACTCAAAAAATTGAAATTTGAGATAATGAAATTAATGCATGAATACTTTATTTTGAAGTGAAATTGATAGAAAAACTTTCAAGATGGCGACTGGGCGCTATCTTAAAAAAAATTAAATGGAAAGGGGGGTCTAGTGACACATGTTTTTGAAGCTCCTGACACATGTTTTTGAAGCTCCTGACAAATGCTTCACAACCCTAGAATATAATGTCAATATCTTCAACTACTACAAAATGGCGAAACTTTTTATAAGTGCCTGAATACATTGATATTTAACTACATAATATAAGGTAATGAGCTTGAGGTCGGTTCAGAAGATGCTCGAAATGGTTGCCTTGAACTTCTTGACTTTATGAACAGCCTATCCGATATTTCACGCCGAACAGTTTCGAACACAGTAACGTCAATATCTCTACAAATATTTATTATTCGTACACCTTTTGCTTCAAATAGCCCCATAAAAAAGTCCAAAGGTGTCAAATCTGGCGAGCGGGCTGGCCATTGTGTAGGACCTCGGCGGCCAATTCAACGACCGGGAACAGTAGTATCCAATTAGTTTCTTACTTGTCTGGAGTAATGTGGTGGTGCTCCATCTTGTTGGAATACAATATCCATATGGAATTCATTAGGATTCACTTCGACGATTTCAGTGATGACAGGGTCAATAAATAGAGATAGAAATAGAGATACTACAATATGGTTTCCCAATATTCCTGCCCAAACGTTGATTTTTTTCTGGATAGTGGGTATGTATTTCCCGGAAAACGTGAGAGTTGGTGTCACTCCAATAACGGCAATTTTGTCTGTGAACATTGCCGTTTGAAAAAATGTACATTTGTCACTTAAACAAATATTGTGGAGATAGGTAGGATGCCTTCCAGTGGTTCCCGTCATGATTTCCCAGAATTCTATTCTTCGATCAGGGTCATCTTCATTTAATTGGTGTACCATTTTAATTTTGTATGGATGATACCTATTCCTCTAAAAAATGTCTCCACACAGTAGAAGGAGACACCTCACAAACATTAGCGACGGAATAAGTAGACTGTTCAAGATTTACTTACATCTCCCGTCGCACTGTAAATAAAAATCGCTTAAATTTTTTTCTTCCAATGGACGAGAATTGACCATTTTAGAGATTGTTGACGTGATACCTTTTTACTAGTAAAACCGAAAACTAAATGAGAGTATTCTACCTGAACAATGATGTTCATTGTCGTATTGACATTTTTTGACGCTGCTTCTCAAAAGCTTGGAACACTGTTCCAATCAGTAAGTTTGATATTTCATAAAGATCAGACCTTCTTTGGAGTATCTTTTTCATGTACGGAGCTCCGCCCCCAAATATACCCTGAAGCTGCTGGATTCCATCTAGAAGAGAGCCATCCGCCTGATTGGAGACGCGAACTTTACTTGCAACCCTGATAGTCTGGAACATCGAAGAAAGGTTGGAGATTCATCTCTCTTATATAGATACTTTCACGGAAAGTGTTCAAGCGACTTGGCATATTTGATTCCACCAAGAGCGGTACATATCAGTAATACGCGACGGGCTGAGGCTGCTCATCGTTATGAGGTTCAACTCAGAACACCACGGACTTCACTGTTTAAGAACTCTNGCAATTTCCGCTGACACACTGGGACGAGTACGACAAGAGTTTAGCAATAGGATGCATTACTGCCAGGAAGTAGATGGAGCACATTTTGAACACTTATTATAAGAACTGGTTCTTAAATCTTTATTAATTAAATGCGAAACTATAATTTTCGTATTTCTTCAATTTATCAATCAAAATCAGCCGAAACCCAAACAAAATTGGTATGACTGAATAGGTATTTTCAATACCTTTCAAACGAGCTGTCACTTGCCATAGGGTCCCATTTAAAATTTTTGGTCACAGTGGCCTTGTGACGTCATTTATGACTATTGCGTCACCTGTTATGACCAGTTAAGAAGCCTACATCCGTTTATTTCCACCCTCCAAATTTCATTATTAGAAGTATACCCGTTCAAAAGATACGAGGGGGGGGAGGGGACTTTTGACTAGCACTGTATAATAGCCGTGGATGTTTTTTCCCAATAAATATTAAAAAGTATTAGCATTAGCATTAAGTATTTTTAGTTGGTTAGGTCTTTGAATTATGGCAGTTATTTTTATTATACTTGTATACGGTTATTATCATAATATTACTTTTCGTCGATATGGCAAAAAAGTGTACGAAAAATTTTTTTATTGAGGACTGGTCATTGGTTGAAACTAAAACCGTAATGTACCGTAATGTTCGATTCACCGGCCTCAAATAAGTAAAGGGTGTGTAGATACTGGACAGAGTGAAATAAATAATAATAACAATTTACTCCACGTTTAAACATCTTTATAATCTACTTACCTGCTTTCTTCGTTCTCTGTTCATGGCTAAAGTAACATGTTCGCAGTAGAAGTCAGGCAATAATTGCTCAGCAACTTGTTGAGAACTATGTCTCAAATTCTGGAACGTACATAAATCTTTGGTTGGTTCTGCCTGGGTAACTGGACCTTTTAATCTCTCGGTAGCCTGTAATTATCAAATATTCATACGATTTTTTACACTGAAAAATGATGTGGAATTTCATCAAAGGATTGTTATTGGCCTGAGAGCTGAATCAGGTATCGATGTCTGAATGAAAGGCAACACAAAGCAACTGGCTTCCAGCCAAGTGATGCAGATCAAGGTGCATTGATAGTTTTCAAAATTCAGTCTCGAATATATTTGAAAATGTGGAAAGTGTATTACAGATATATTTTTTTCAGACTAAGATCACATAGATTCTCAAATTGAAATAAATTATGGTTACAGAGTCAGTACATGTTTTGGTTGAATCAATGCATTTCATAATATCAATCAATCAATAATTCAATTTATGCAATTCAGATGCATATTCATGTCTATAATAAATATTAGCATATATTTAGTAATGATTACAGTAAATTAAAAAAAAATAAATAAATAACAATAAATACGTTGTGATGTTAAGTTCTTGGGAAACGCCAAAGCAAAGCTTGTGTTGCGTATTTTCCCAGATCTAGACACAACCATGAATGTAAGTGAGAAAAAAAACAAATTATTCATTTCTTTCAGTTAAAAATGAAAATTTATAATTGAAAGAAATCAATAGAAAGCAATGATCAACCCGCAGGAGGATTTGGCCATACAATCCGGCGAAAGGGATACAGGTCTAAGTGAGATTAACAATATTTCAGGCATGATTCAGTGAGTTGATTCAAATATTTCTTTTAAGAAATCAAAGTTGTGATCAA